AGAACCAAAAATGGGATGCAGATGATCACATGGGGCATGGGAACGGAAATTACTTTCAGAACTGTGTGGTACAGGGCTTTAGGAAAACCCATATTAAATCTCTAAATTATTCCAAAGTCTCTGGTAACATAGGAGAATAAAGAAACTTCCACAACCATTTTAGAAAGACTCAGGGAAGCACTAATTAAATATACCTCAATGTCCCCATGTTCCCCAGCATAAAAACCTAAAAAAAAACCAAATTCATAATTCAATCAGTTACTGACATTAGGAAAAAAATTACAAACAACAATTGCAAAAAAAGACAACAATTTAGATAGTCTCTAAAAAATGCCACTTGGGTGTTTTACAATCAAGACCAAGAAGAGGAGGAGGAAGATGAGGAGAGAGAGGAGAGAGAGAGAGAGAGAGAGAGAGAGAGAGAGAGAGAGAGAGAGAGAGGAATACAATAGAGGAAAAAGTAAGGCAACTGCCCTTGTGACAGCTCTACATATGAATAAATCTAGTAGACAATACCCCAAAGTGGTATTGCTCCCATCATAGCCTGCTAGAACTGTGACCAAGAGGGACATTACAAGAAAAACTGCCCATGAAAGAAATGGATGCCATCAACACCCTAACCAGTCACTGAAGAGGATCACAGGTGGTTAGACTACACTCACAGGCAAGGCCCAGTGGACAAATCCCTCACTTCACACAGTCCAACAATAGGACTGATGGGTCCTGGGGAATCCATCTTAGGTTCCCAACTATTCAGACTCTTATTTCTGTACAGGAGCCCAGGATGATCTTAACTGTCAAGGGAAGGAAAATTTATTTCTTTCCTGACACTGGTGCCATTTTTTCTGTGCTTCTTTCAAACCTAGGCCTCCTCTCCTCTCACAGTTCAACCATAAGGGGAGTGTCAGGAAAGCCTGTGACTGGATATTGCTCCCAACCTCTTAGCTTCTCTTGGGATGATCTCTTCTCACATATCCTTTTGATAATGCCGGAAAGTCCCACTCACCCATGGAAAGAGATATTTTGACCCACCTATGCATCAGACTTCTCATATGACAACAGGACTAGTACTTTGTCTGCCCCTAGTAGAAACTGACATTAACCTATAAGTCTGGGCTACACAGTGAGAAAAAGGTCAGGAGCAATAGGACCTGCTCCTGTCCAGATTCATCTCAAAGATTCTGTACCCTTTTCCCATCAAAAACTGTATCCCCTAAAACCAGAGACTAAACAATGGTTACAAATTATAATAGGTAACTTTAAGGGACAGAGTCTCTTGAGACACTGTGACAGTCCATGTTATACACCCATAGAAGTCCAATAGTGAATGGAGACTAGTACAGGACCTCAGATCAACAAATGAGGTAGTGATTCCCATACATCCTTGGTCTCTGATTCTTACACCTTGTTATCCCAGATTCCATTTTAGACATAAAAGATGCATTTTTCTGTATACCTATGCATTAAGATCCTTAATATCTGCTTGTTTTGAGGGTCCCTCTAACAAGACCATCTAGTTGACCTTGACTGTTGTACTCAAGCCTCAGGAAGATCTGAGGCTGGCAGGCCAGCACCAAGGTGAACTGAAGCAAGCCAATCTGTTATCCTGTAGCATCCAAGACTGCCCACAGTGGGGATGCCCACTGCAGAACTTTTCCAAAACCCAGGTAGCATAAACGTAGACCCATATTATTAGTGCTCCTTCCAATTAATAAAGACAATAAATATTTTTTATTTAGGAAAAAAATGAAGTTGAACCAATGGAATTCCCAGATGCAAGACAATTTCTGACTGGTAACCCTGCACTTTTTAGAATATTTATTTTTTAGTTATAGGTGGACACAATATATTTTATTTTCATGTGGTACTGAGGATCAAATCCAGTGCCTCATGCATGCATACATGCCTCTGAGACAAGACCCCAACCCATAACCCTGCATTTCTATGAATACTAAAGAAAATGTGCAGTGTGAAAAAAATGTTGCCAAGTGGTGCATTTCACATGGTGTATAAGGAAGTGACACATTAAAATATCATAAAACAGTGCATAAATACTTTTCTCTCTTTGCTGAATTCAAGAGGTTTAAAGTATGATGTTTTGAAGTGTTTTGGTGATGTCTTTTCATGATAGATAGTTGCTGGCTCAGGGTGCCAGGAACACAGTGGGAAGTGCTGCTAATGCTAAAATCTGAGAGCTACTGGCAATACAACTTCAGAACTGCTAATACTAAGGGAGCTAGTTGTACTCTGCCTATTCGTGATTGCATCTAAATTAACACCCAAAAGCCTAAGATATATAAGTATCTCTTCTCTTTTGATGCTAATTCTGAATTACTTTCCTGCCCCATATATATCAGGACATGTAAGTTTTAATGCTTAGTGGGTGAGCAACATGCAGAAAGCTCACTAAGAGAACAACTTCCTCTGTAAGCAGCCCAAGTGTTCACATAGGTTTACTCATTTGATAGTTTTTCAGTTCTTCCAAATAATGTTCCCTCTGCACATCAAAATATGAGCCTACATCTACCTGGAACAGGCCACACTTTCTTGCAGCTGTGCACTTTGTGCTTACTTCTGAATCTAGGCCTCAGGTCCCTCTTCTGCATATTGACAATTCTTCCTTATTCATTTTCCCTTGTCTCTTGAAAACAAAACTCTATTACATTGTGTGGTTCTCATTTACACTTTCAGAATTATCCGTACTTCACATATGCAACTATACATAAATATAAACATATATATGTATAGATTCATATATCTACTTATACACATAAATATGCTTTAATTCAAATTACAATAATGAATATTGTATACTGATTATATCATGAATGATATGCTCAATAGAATAGTGGCCTTCTGGGGTGGAGCTTATTTCTAGTTACCATGGGCATGCCATGGAAACAGGGAAAGTGATTAAGAAATAACTGTAGGAATTAAGAAAATTATTTGTGAGAAGATGTTTATTAAAGTAGCCCCCAGTCTTTGAGACTTAAAATAACCCTTGTATTCCCAACTATCTAGAAGCACGACTCTGGATGAGAAACATAATTACTCTAAGGAAGATAAGGGCATATTTTTCAATACCTACTTAAGAAAAGGCCAAGGAGCTGGGGTTGGAGCTCAGTGCCACAGTGTTGCCTAGCATGTGTGAGGACCTAGGTTTGAGCCTTAACAACACATCAAACAAACAAACAAAC